GTATATATATATATAAGGCTATTACAATGGTGGCGGCTGGCTTCACTGGTGTTCTGCTAGGGTTTCAGCATAATGGTTCTTCTAGTTATTGCTAATGCTCTAGTCTCAGTTGATATCTCAAGCTTTACAGGATTTTTCTCCTTACATCTCTAGATTCTTCAAGTCCTACTTTTCTTTAGCTCTTTCTCTCTTCCCGGGCATCTGTTATTCAAATTATTATTGTTCCATTGCTTAGCTCCACTGTTGCTATTTGGTTTTTATTTTCTGAATCTTGGGGTTTGTATTTACTGGTTCCTTTATTTACTCTACTGTCCAATCAGCTTCTCTTTTCCTTTGACTTGATTGTTGCACCTGTAATTTCGGCTCTCTGGCAAATCCTGTGCTGTGGTCGGTTTTCAGTAATGACTGATCCAAATGCTATTGACCTTGCTACTAATATTCAGTGAGCTAAGGCCACATTTACTGACATTGTTGGGAAAGGCTTTGAAAATGTCCAAAACCCTGATGACCTAGTCTTCCCACAAGAGTACGATGAGGGAAATGACCCTCTTTTCAAACCTATTTGCAAGAAAAATTGGAAGATGGCTATCTTTTACACTGATGAGGACATCAATGGCCTTACTGAGAGCTATAAGTTCTTATTAATTGAAAATTTTCAACTAGGTCATCCTAAAATGGAATTTGTGAGAAGATTCTCTGATGGACTAAAATGCAAAGGAGCTTGGAAATTGGGGCTTCTTGATGGTAGGCACATACTCATCAACCTAACAAGGGAAGAAGATTATCTCAGAATATTATAAAAACAATCCATACTAATTGAAGGTATCTCAATGAAGTTATTAAAGTGGACACCTGATTAAAGAATTGCCAATTGTCCCCATTTGGTTTAAGTTACCAAGGCTTAAACTCCACTTCCTCAATCATAAAGTACTTTTCAACATTGGCAAAGCTTTGGGCAGACCATTGAAGTTGGATGCTCCCACCTTTTATTTATCAAGGCCATCCGTTGCTAGAATCTTGATTGAAAGAGACATTACCTTACCAGTTGTGAAGGAAATTTTGTTGGGTACTGAGCATAATGGATACTAGCAGAAAATCATAGCTAAACAAAGACCATATTACTGCCACCACTGAAAAATGTTTGGCCACCTTGATGAGAAATGCTTTAGGCTTCATCCTAATCTTAGAAGAAGGTTAGCTTCTAGATCTAATTTTGGGGAAAAAGAGGCCCAAGGAATTAAGATTTTAGCTGATCTTAGAACTACAGCTAATGATTTTGAATTTGCTGGGGCAAGGACTCAGGAGGCTCCTTTACAGGAGTTGGCAGAGTTATCTCACAATATTGTTAAAAGTGTTGTTAATCCTAATAATTCCATGCAAACTGTACTTCCTCAGGTTCAGCAACTTCACTGTACTACTATCCCATCATCACCTCAAGTTGAACAGTTTCAATGTACTACAATTCAAACTCCCCTTGTTGAAATTATGGATACATTGATATTCCTTTGGAAGATCCTTTGCTCTTGCATGTGACAAAAGATTTAGAAGAGGGCTGACAAGTTCAGAAATCAAAAAAGAAGAAAATTCCTCAAGAAACAAAGAATCTCCTTCCTTCCTCTTCTTCTTTGGAGGAAGATCTCACCCTCCCCACTAGCAAAGTTATAACTAGGAGGAGGGGAAAGTCCACCTCAGTTGGATGATGAATTTAATTTGTTGGAATGATAGGGGATTAGCACATCCTAGATCCCATAACAAAATTCTAGCACTTAATAGAATGTATAAATCATGGATCATTGCAATCCTTGAACATAAAATATCTAAACATACCAACAAAATTGTGAGGAATTTCCCTGGATTCCAACTACTTGTTAACACTAACAGTAAAACTTGGTTGTTCTGCAGGAAGGAAATTCAGTATACTGTCATCAAGAATGGGGACCAATTTATACATTTGAAGATTAATTTAAATAGTTATAATGGCTTTGCAACTTTTATATATGTTGGCTGCTCTTCCACTGCTAAACAGGTGCTCTGGGAACAGTTGCAAGACTTCAGCAAATCTATGAGGAATTTCTAGTTTGTTGGGGGTGATTTTAACTATCTCTCTTCACCTAATGAGAAGAAGGGTGGGAGATCTCCCGATATCAATCTTATGAATTTCTTCAATGATAACATCCAGT